AGAAGGCAATTTAATTTTTAAGCCAAGTATATATGTATGACTTGTATGCATGCGTGCGTGCGTGCGTGCGTGCGTGCGTGCGTGCGTGCGTGTGTGTGCATCCAGGGTGAGTAATTGTACACTCGGGGAGCGGGGGCGGCGCAACGCGGTGGGTGGGGAGTCAAGGGCTAGCGCACTTTTTAACTTAGGACTTTCGAAAGTCAGTTGCCCTGTATTCTGGCATACTGGTGCGCTCCTCATTGAAACCGCGCACGGCCGTGCTCCGTGCCTGCATTACAAGGTATGTATTTATGTATATGTGTCTATGGGTTTATGCTTATGTGCCGTGTATGTTAAGTATGACACGCCTCCGTGTGGCTGTAAATTAGCTTCACGTACATGTAGGTATTTGTCACTCGATGGCTCTTCGCGCGTTTGCTTTGTCCTCCAGCCACATGTTGCCACAGACTCGGCCAAAAACACTGTCCTTAAATTTGGTAACAAATCAATATCCCGTATTACCTCCATGGCAAGATGCGACGCACGTCTGCTGTGGTTGCGATGGGCTTGATCCTTCTTGTTGGAATCATTGTATTTCATGCAGGAATCGGGAACTATTTTCAGGTAAGTGAACAACCTTATTTAAAACGTCAGACGTGCATGTTATTATTATGATAATGGCCTTGTCCCTGTTTAATTATTGGCTTGACGTTTTGATAATAAAATCTTAACAGGAGAAACATATATCCTCAATATTTTCTGTTGTCCCTGTTGGCTGCTAAAACTCCCTTTGTTGCCACAAGACACCACACAGGCAAACCCAGGTGTAGTTTCTGATCTCGCCCTGTACTGTACCCAATTCCTCCAAACAGGCTATTTACCATTCGTCACCACTCGCCCCTTTCCGTAACCTGCAAGAAGACTCGTCCCCCTCTCGATGAATGTTATGTGCGAAAATACGACAAACCAATCAGAATGCGCGTATGATTTCAAGTTCTTCGTCAAAGAATCCCTCAGAAATAATTTTTCAATTTACATATGTCTTGCATCTAAAAATATACCAAAGACACAGTTAAATGTGTCCGATCATACTGTATAATTCCGCACGTCCCGATGTTCTTTAAATTGCATCTGAAATATATATAATATATGGGGGAAATGTGTGAACCATTACACAACGAGTTGACAATTGTTTTAGGTATGCCCGTTTGCGCTAAGACGGAGCCCGGTCGCAAAAATGGTCACGAGAGGGGCACGAGTCGCTATTCGGCTTGTCCCGGAATAACACGAGTTGGTCACGAATGGCTATTTACCTCATTATTAAGCGGAGCTGGTGACACAGACATTGCGAGATAGGCTTCCTCTCCAATACTACGGTCTATAAGCCTTTTGTTCACATGCACACATTCATAACATCCCATTCAATTTAATTTCAAGGACGTTAAGTTATATTATAAAAGTTTTGTGTGTGACTTGTATCAGCCTTGTTCAATCAATCTAGCTGGCAGGATGCAATGTGGTGTATATATAGACACGAATAGGATAGAAGAAAACATGCAACATTATGGAAAACAACTTCTGTTTTATTGCATATAGCGACGTTTCGATTGAGATTCTTCACCGTTATCAAGCTGGAGTGAAAACAACCAAGTGATGAAAGATATATATGCATGATGTGTTGTGATGAAGCAGATAAACATTAACAACAACATGTATGAATAACAAGTAGCACACAGATAATTGGAATATTGAAAAGTAGAACAGAACAAAAGCTTTTTCTGGGTGTAAGTACAAGTGTCTAAACTCAATTCAATTCTAAATTCGATAGATAGGAGACTCTGTAGCTTGTTTATTACAGTACAGTTGTGAATTTCTGTTGTACAATGAGTAGGGAGCTAATCGTTGTTGGTTATGTTTAAAGGATATTAATGAACTGTGACGTTGATAACTGGCGCACCTCTTTGTGGAATGATAGAGGAAAAATAAATGAAAATAAGCTTAGCACATGGAGAAAATTTTACTTATGTGTTTCGCCAAGTCCTCAAAACCTCCTCCGGAGAGCCATTATACATGATACATTTTATCCAACAATATACATATTACTAATATGGTTGACGAATATCATCTGAAAACCCAATGTAACTCTTATAATGACTTGCGTTTAATTCTTTTTAATTCCGCATGTGTACATAATTCTTTATTTTATAATGGTAATGATGAAGATAAGTTTGTATTGTCATAACGTGCGGCTAACGGGATGGGTGGTTTAATGCTTTGTCATCGTAATCCCAACTGCGTAGGTCGATGCTGAAGCCAATAACTGGATTGTCTGGTCCAGACTCGATTATTTGCAGACCGCCCTCATATAGCTGGAATATTGTAGAGTACGCCGTTAAACAACAAACTAACAAACATGAAATGTCTCTCAGAAATCAAGAATGTGTCCATTGTCACTCTACATCGTACCTTGAGAATGACTTTGTGTCAGCTATACTGACGTGGTTTGTTCTCTGTTATACACCATGGGCGGTTTCACGAATGAATGAATGAACTAATGACAATAATTGACGGTTTGCACGAAATAACCCCCGCCAACATTTGAATAAATAAATAAACGGAAGAACGAATTAATCTGGTTATTCAAAGAGTTTACGCCAAAAGAGCACACACTTTGTAACACGATCCATGAAGATCACAGCAGGTCAAAGTTAGAAAGGCTTGGTTTGACATTGTCCATTTATATAATTATCACCACTATTTGGCCTTATACCCCCGTCCATTGGAATCTGTTTCGGCTGATAATCGCGACTGCCTATTTTCTGACATTGACATTCTATATTACATGATTATAAAATATATACAGTAAACTACAGTTATGACGAACTTGGAAGCGACCACTAATTTTAGTTCGTAATAACCGTGGTTCGTTATAAGCATATATACAGCATTTATACAACAAATGGTCGGGACTGAAGAATGAGTTCGTTATATCGGTCAGTTCGTTATATGCGTGTTCATTATAACCGTAGTTTACTGAGTATATATATATATATATATATATATATATATATATATATATATATATATAAATGGGTTCAGTCCGTCCGTCCGTGCGTCCTTGTGTGTGTGCGTCCCAAAGTCGTTTCCCGAACATAACTCAGAAACCGTTAAATATTTCTCTACGAAACTTTGCATGACTCATGCTGAACTGGTGCCTTTTGCTTTTTAGGAATTTTAGAATTTTTTATTTTTTTACCGTTTCCATTACAACAAGTCGGACTTAGGTTCTGTAAAGGTGGTGTTCGTTTCCGGAGCATAACTCAAAACCCATTCAATACTTTCTAACAAAACTTTGCTTGTTTACCAGACACATACTGAACTGGTGTTTTTTTTTATATCTAGCACTGTTAGAACTTTTTATTTTAGAATTTCCATTGCAGCTATTTTAAATTGGGCTAAGAGAAATGATAGGTCAGTTACCTGGTTGAGGACCATACCGTGTTATAATGGGTGGGGGATATCGTCGACTATACGCTTGTTTGAATATTAAACGAAAGCTTCGACCTATCTCTCAGCGATTTGTGACAGAGAATAATATATACTGTAAAACAGCTTCTGACAAAACAACGTTAAACCATATAAACCTTCACGCCTTTTTGACAAATTGTCTAGTTTAATGTGTCCTCATTGGTGAAATATCCCTGCTCTCCTCACGTTTGAGAAATATGTGACTGAGAAACATCCTGTTTCGAAGCCTAAGAAATCTCAAGTTACCTCCAATATTTATGTAAATATCCATCTAAAAATATCTTCCTAATGTTTTATTTCAATGTCCCGGTCACTGTTCCTCGCACATTAAAGGGTTGTCTGCAATCAAAACAAATGGATTATTGGAACTCAGATAGTATTTCTGAACCACATTGTGTGTTTTCCAGTGTGGATTCCGAGCCAGATGATGGGCGGGTGGTTGAATAATAGCATCTTTAAATTCAAGTCTAAATTTACATACCTTTACATACTTTTATGTCTACATATACATACATTTACATACCGTATCACACATTCATAATATGTTTATGTCTTCATGCATTTACGTAAATGTATGTGAAAATGTACATACTTTCACGTACATGATTGTGTAAATGTACATACACATACATTACATATGAACTACACAATACAAGTTAAAGAATACCCGATTCTTTCATACTACCTTAGTTCATCTGTCATGTGCATATTTTCATGAAAGGATGGTGTTCATAAGAATATATTGTAAGCTGTATTACATAAAGATGGTGTTCATTAGATTATATGGTAAGCTGTATTACATAAAGATGGTGTTCATTAGATTATATGGTAAGCTGTATTACATAAAGATGGTGTTCATTAGATTATATGGTAAGCTGTATTACATAAAGATGGTGTTCATTAGATTATATGGTAAGCTGTATTACATAAAGATGGTGTTCATTAGATTATATGGTAAGCTGTATTACATAAAGATGGTGTTCATGAGAATATATGGTAAGCTGTATTACATAAAGATGGTGTTCATGAGAATATATGGTAAGCTGTATTGCATAAAGATGGTGTTCATGAGAATATGTAGTAAGCTGTTTTACATATATGATGTGGATGAGAACATGTGGTGAGGTGTCTTACGTAAACATCATGTACAAAAGCACAAATTGTCAGCCGTTTTACATAAATATGGGACCCGTGAATATCCAGGGTAGAATAGGTCTTCAGCAATCCATGCTTGCCGTAAAAGGCGACTATGCTTCTCGTAAGAGGCGACTAACGGGATCGGGTGGTCAGGCTCGTTGACTTGGTTGATGCATGACATTGATTTCAATCGCGTAGATTTATAGCATATTATTTACAGACCGTCGTCATATAGCTGGAATATTGCTAAGTGCAGCGTTAAACAACAAACAAACAAACAAACATAAAGATGGGGTTTATAAGAATATATGGTAAGCTGTTTAACAAATGATAACCATTGACCTATCTTGTTCCAGTGGAATCAGCTTGTACCAATCGTCTATGAAGAAGACTGCCCAGGTTATAGCTTCGTAAAGGTACGCCGAGTTCACAGTGGATGTTGGTCTCATCTCGCAAATAACATGTTTATCTTAGGGGTAGTCTAGCAGTTAAAGCGTTCGCTCGTCATGCCGAAGGCCAGGGTTCGATTCCCCACATGGGTACAATGAGTGAAGCCCATTTACTGTTGTCCCTCACCGTGGTATTGCTGGAATATGCTAAAAGCGGCGTTAAACCATACTCGCTCACTCATTCACTCAGAAATACTATTGAGTAACAATATTCTTCAATTCTTTCTATAGAAGACAACTCCTTATAAATCTACTGAGTTTTCATTTACAAAACACTGTGAGTGAGTGAGTATGGTTTAACGCCGTTTTAGCAATATTCCAGCAATATCACGGCGGGGGACACCAGAAATGGGCTCCACACATTGTACCCATGTCGGGAATCGAACCCGGGTCTTCGGCGTGACGAGCGAACGCTTTAACCACTCGGCAACCCGACCGTCCCACAAAACACTGTGTTGTATGTAGTAATGTATTAGGTTTATTTAACAAGGATGCATCATGAATCTGAAATGTAATAAATATTATGCACAAGTATGTATTGAAAGGATATGCAGTGTGGAAACGCGCCTTGAATTTTCTTCAGAATGTCTTTTAGAGAATCGCCGATCTTTTGGCTTTGATCCAGTCCTTGGACCAAATTCGCGTCAATGATTTAGTAGGGAAGAATGATCTAATACTGACTGATTGTCTTTCCAGAACAATTATACAGACAAACCCATCATCCCTGAGGCTGAGTGTCTCCGAGGTCATGTGCCACCGACACGTTCCCAGATAGGCAACCTTGACCCAGCTCAAATGACTGAAGTATACCACAGGTAAAATATCTAAAAATTCCAAACTCAGTGAGACTATCTCCCATCAGTTATATTCCGTGTTTGTAACAAATAATGAACATACCCACTTTGTTAATTACTCACAGTGTGTCATATTCTAATATGGAGTGAGTGAGTTGGGTTTAACGTCGCTTTGAACAATTTCCAGTTATCTCACGGCGTGTCAGCTTAATGTGGGAGGAAATCCCTGAGTTGGTCTCCGACGTTTACCGCTTTGCACGTGTTTGGTCATGACATTTCTGGAAACTTCACATCTGGAACTAAAAACTCTTCGGTCACTCGCAACGCTGACTTCCCATGTTTGATTCCTCACAATTTGGGGTACAATGTGTGGAGTCTATTTCTGGTGGCCCGCCGGTATGTTGATAGAATATTGCTCAAAACGACCTAATTACCTCATACTAACTCACTCACTCCATGGAACTGAGCTCGAGTCCAATGCTTATATCTGGACATGTTTGCTTGTTTTTTATCCCCCGCCGCGCGAAAGCGCGAAGCGGGGGATATAGTATTCACGACCGTCCGTACGTCCGTCCGTCCGTACGTCCGTCCGTCCGTACGTCCCACCTGTTTGTTGCCGCGATATCTCAAGAACTAAACACTGGATTGTCTTCATATTTGGAACTATGGTGTATATACAGACTCCGCAGACACCAGTCGGTTTTGGTGACCTTGATCCCATTTTCAAGGTCACAGCAGACAAATCTGCTTTTAGAGTTGGAAAACGGTGTTGCCGCGATATCTCAAGAACTAAACACTGGATTGTCTTCATATTTGGAACTATGGTGTATATACAGACTCCGCAGACACCAGTCGGTTTTGGTGACCTTGATCCCATTTTCAAGGTCACAGCAGACAAATCTGCTTTTAGAGTTGGAAAACGGTGTTGCCGCGATATCTCAAGAACTAAACACTGGATTGTCTTCATATTTGGTACTATGGTGTATATGGCGGGGGATATTTCGTCACTCTGTGACAAATACTTGTTTTGTTTAACGCCGCACTCAGCAATATTCCCGCTATATATTCCGGCGATCTGTAAATAATCAAATCTGGACAAGACAATCCAGTGATTAAAATCATGAGACTCTATGGGACTCGATTACATGCATCAACCAAGTCAGCGAGCCTGACAACGCCTCTTTCGACAAGCATAGTCGCCTTTTACGGCAAGCATGGGTGGCTGAAGACCTATTCTACCCCTCTTGATATGTAAGGAGTGAGTGAGTTTTGTTTAACGCCGATTTGAACAGTTTTCCACCCCCTCACACCAAGGTGTGAGACATATAATTTTGGAACGGACAATGACGCATTTTTGTGATTGAAATCCAATAATTTTTCAACAAAAAAATGTTGTTTGTTTATGATGTTTATCACTCGAGCAATTGCTCAGGTAAGTTATATGTCTACACTGTGATAATACCTTACTGTTTTACTGTCCTTGTTGACAAGAATTTTATGATAATAAACTTGTTCTCATGGCTGCAATATTGCCGATGCGATGTAAAATCTTAACTCACTCGCTCACTCACTCGAGCAGTCAATGATATTTCTATGACACGGTCTCAGTGTCAAATGTTGTGTTTAATACTGGAAATGAACACCTTAATGCCTCTTTTATAGATGTTCCGAATATTGATATCGCATTGATTAGTGCCGAATGGTAATAAACCTGCATCATGCACGAGTGAGTTTGGTATTTGTCACAATTGTATGTATGACCTTGACCTTGGTACATTTACGAGAACATTGCGCAGGTGACACTTTGGGTCATCCTTACCATCAATGACTTTAGCCTTGAGATTTATGGATGGATGCTTTGGACATCCTGTGTCATATGTAACACATGTGGCGTATGACCACATCCTGCAGTACACTTGACCTTGACCTTGTTACTTGGTTTGTGGGACTCTCCGTCTCACATGGAGAACATCAAGTTGGAGCTGTGGAAGTATTGTATTATATATGATCTTGACCTTGCTGTTGTTACGTCGTGAATATCCTGGCGATGACATCCTGTACTACATATGACCTTGACCTTGCAGTTACGTGGAAAACATCCAGGTGGCGTGTGGGGACATGAAGAGGATGGGACTTCAGCAAGATGGCGGCTGGGAGGTTTGTAACGACCCCCTCGTCAGACCTAAGAAACCGTGCCTAGTTTATTCCTTTGGGTGAGAACACGATTCAATTTATTTTTGTCTGGCGCAGGGTTACCAGAAAACAAAGTCCGCGAAAGCAGAAATGTCTTATTGGATAATACACATTGCAAGTAGTTAATACAGTACTTTTCACCTCTGTTACAAGGGGATCACCGATAACACCGGTGATGCAATTCTCTGTGCAGAGTTACAATCCATACTTGCGTCAGGATCCGCTGAACGTTGGTTCGAAGCCCTGATTTAGATCTTTTGGCTTTCAGTACTATTCCCGAAACTGGGGTAAAGCATCAATGCTTGTCGTACAAGGCGACTAACGGGATCGGTTGATCAGGCTCGCTGAGTTGGTTGATGCATGTTATCGAATTCCAGTTGCGTAGATTGATACTCATGATGTCAATCACTTGATTTTCTTGTCCATACTCGATTATTCACAGACCGCCGTCATATAGCTGAAATATTGCTGAGTATGGCTTTAAACAACAAACAAACAAACATGAAATGTCTCTCTGAAATCAAGAACGTTAGACAACAAAGAGAGTGAGTTGGGTGAGTTGGGTTTACCGCCGCAGTATTCCAGTCATATCACGGCGTGGCAGCTTAATGTGGGGGTAAAGCCCGAAGTGATACAGGTCTCAGACGTTTACCACTTCGGTGAAAGTCACGAGCACGAGGGATTAATCGGGATTTGGACACAGGATTAGAGGTTTCTGGGACGCAACTCATATCTGAGCCACACTGGTTTCTCAAAACAGAGAATAACCTAGAATAGAATAAAGAATGAATTAAGATCCGTGACGATCCGGGGTAGACTAGGTCTTCAGTAACCCATGTTTGCCGTAAACGGCGACTATGCTTGTCGTAAAAGGCGACTTTGCTTGTCGTAAGAGGCGACTAACGGGATCGGATAGTCAGGCTCGCTGACTTGGTTGATACATGTCATCTTATCCTAATTGAGTGGATCGATGCTTATGATGTCAATCACTGGGTTGTCTGGTCCAGACTCAATAATTTACAGAGTGCCGTCATTTTGCTCGACAATTGCTTAGTGCGGCGTTAAACTAATAACCCCAACAAATCATACAATGCATGGAGAAGAACCAAGGCTCGAATAATACAATTTGTATTCCTAAAATGATATTGACGATGCAAAAACACACTAAGCAAAAACAGATTCACTCAATCGCCGTCCTCACTCGTCACATTCCTTAGGCTTGAAACATTCATATCAATATTCACACTCCACTCCACTCCACTCCACTCCACTCCACTCCACTCCACTCATGGGAATAATGGGAAGCTTCATGATATTCCAATATGCATATAAGTGTGGGTGAGTAGGTTGTGTTTCATACTGCTTTGAACAATCTTTCAGTTAAATCACGGCTTGTCAGGATAATGTCTGAGGATGGACAATTGGATATGTGACGTACCATTTTATTGAAGCTGCACCCGTGGTGATCCAGGCCACAACCCGCACTTGTCCTAAGAGGCGACTACCGGGATCGGGTCATCAGGTTCGTTGACTTGGTTCATGCATATCATCGTATCCCAATTCCGTAGATCGATGCTCATGATATCGATCACTCGACTATCTGGTCCAGTCTTGATTTTACAGACCGCCGTCATACAGCTGGACCATTGCTGAGTGTGGCGTTAAGCAACAAACAAATCACTAAAACTGAAAACCCCGAAACACGAGTACTGTGCCGACAATATTCATATTGCAAGACCCATTTTGCATAAGCTTAAGGTAATGGTAATATATTTCTATCGCAATGTGAGTAGTATCTATGTTTTATTTTTCAGTATCAACAATGACTTCAGTTTCGACGACGCAATCGAGCAAGAATACGGATGTGAGATCCATGCTTTTGACCCCAGGTAAGAGCTGCAGATATATACCTATATACTCATAAACAGCTGACAATGTACTCCCACGTTAAATAATATTTCAGAAAATCTCATGCTCTATATTTTTCTGAAGAAATATGCTAAAAGAGGAAATGAAAACATACCGAGGTTTTTTGTGTAATTGAAAAATTGTTAAATTTGATTATGTCTATTTAAACATCATTCATTCCCGCAACAGTTTGTAAATATTAATCTGTGACTGGATAATTTGAAGGGAATGAATGTGCAACGTGACCCCTACCATGTTTGAAATGTAAATATATGCCGAAAAGAGATTTATTTGTTTCAAATATAACATGTCTGAGATACCCAACAGCAGTTGTGTATTATGCGAATTTGTTTTAAATTTTAAACAGTTATAAATCAAATTATATTTTTCAAAGTAAAACCATATGGTGGTATTACTTGAGTGCTGACTGAGCGCCTGTACAGCTCATTTTTTGGAGGTAATATCGTTAACTTAGGATATTTACAATTTGAAAATAATAATAATAAAATCAACTGAGTTTCTTTTACTCCTCCTTACTATTTATTAATAAAGAGACATACTTATTGAAATACACAAACCGAAATTGATTGCTACGACATGTTTTGTAATAATTCGATGGCAATAGTTAATTGCTTCCTGTGTTTAAAATAAACGACGAGTGGGAGTTGTTTATCGTACAATAAAACACTCCAGGGAGATTGAACCATAAGGGGCGCAGCTGATTGTCTCCCACTTACTTTTTTATTATCACTATTTTTAACTGGATGTGTCGAAATAACGGTTGGCTCGAACTGACTTTATTGTCCTGGGAAACACTTACTATATATTACCATTATTTTTAACTGGATGTGTCAAATAACGGTTGTCTCGAACTGACTTTTTTGTCCTGGGAAACACTTACTATATATTACCATTATTTTTAACTGGATGTGTCGAATAACGGTTGGCTCGAACTGACTTTATTGTCTTGGGAAACACTTACTATATATTACAAATTTTTTTTAACTGGATGTGTCGAATAACGGTTGGCTCGATTTGACTTTAGGGTCCCGGGAAACACTTACTGTATTTTACCACTATTTTTAACTGGATGTGTCAAATAACGGTTGTCTCGAACTGACGTTACGGTCCCGGGAAACACTTACTGTATTTTACCACTATTTTTAATTGTATGTGTCAAATAACGGTTGTCTCGAACTGACGTTACGGTCCCGAGAAACACCTCCTATATGTTACCACTATTTTTAACTGGATGTGTCGAATAACGGTTGGCTCGAACTAAATTAGGACCTAAGGGTTAACAATAACTATAAACTTACCCTTATAAGTCGAATTCAGGCTTGTGTGAGAAAACCAACTCCGCACAAGTTAGAATTAGAACAAAGTATAATGGCATGAGCAGGATACGACGTGAAACATCAAGGACAGAGAATCGTTGATTGGCTATGTAAGGATCTGACTCAATTAAAGTGATTGAGATAATATGGAATTTTATTCTCAGTATGGGCAAACCAGACCATCGGCGCAGCGACTACGTGATGTTTCATTCTCTGGGACTTTCTGATTACAATGGAAGGTCAGAAAGAAAATGGCCAATGAAAACTCTCAACTGTATACGCGAGTCTCTTCAACACACTCAGGTACTAAACATTGTTGTATGACTCTTGTTCTACTACGTTTGCATGGTACGGTTTGTTTGTTTGTTTGTTTGTTTGTTTGTTTGTTTGTTTGTTTAACATTGCAACAATGTAATTTTGTGACCCACAATTTCTTAATATTGCAACAGTCTGAAGCATAATTGCAGAATTATTTTATGCAAGGGATCAAATGGTCGGTCCAAATGACTCGTACAACTTCCAGCTTTCCTCCCTGATTATGTTTGTTTGTTGTTTAACGCCGCAGTCAGCAATATTCCAGCTATATGACGGCGGTCTGTAAATAATCGAGTCTGGACCAGACACTCCAGTGTTTGATATCATGAGCATCGATCCACACAATTGGGATACGATGATATCAACCAAGTCAGCGAGCCTGACCACCCGATCCCGTCAGTCGCCACTTATGACAAGCATGGGTTGCTGAAGACCTATTCTATCCCAGATTGTCATGGGTTTCCTCCAGGTTAAGTGAGTGAGTGAGTATGGTTTTACGCCGCTTTTAGCAATATTCCAGCAATATCACGGCGGGGGACACCAGAAATGGGCTTCACATATTGTACCCATGTCGGGAATCGAACCCGGGTCTTCGGCGTGACGAGCGAACGCTTTAACCACTAGGCTACCCGACCGCCCCCCTCCAGGTTTAAGCTGAAACGCAGTGTTATAACTGGAGTGTTGTTCAAAGCGGCGTTAAACCGAATTCACTCACTTTGTCGTGACTAGAAACCACTTTAACCACTAGTCTCTGCCAAAACACCATCAAGCTTAACAAACACCAAACAAAACACCAATTAAAATATATTTTTTGTATCTTTCAGACAACGATCGATGTTTTAAAAATTGATATTGAAGACATGGAGTGGAAGGTGGTTCCGGAAGTCATTAACAACAATGCCTTGCACAACGTGTCTCAGTTTGTGTTTGAGGTTCACATTTCGCTGCAGCATAAGGATGCTCCTTCAGAAAAATATATAACAGCTCTGGGAATATTCCGGGATTTGTATGATCTCGGTTATCGGATTTTCCTCACACACAGAAACCAGTTTTGTCATTACAAGTCCTCGACAGGAAAACAGAGGACTTCGTGTCATGAAATATATATGATGAAAGTTTGCTGAGTGAGATTAGCATCAATTGAAGTGGTTTTGTTTCCGGTGCCATCCGACGTGATGTTGCGGCTCAAAACCGTACTCACTCATGGGGTATTGCTTTAATAACGGCGCAAATTTCTTGAAGGCCTAGATATGACACCAACGGGTATAATGTTGTCAATCGAGGATCATTTGGTTTGAACCTAGGTCTTGGTACGGCTAGGGGACGCTACTCTGTACATCGATTTTATCATTACCAAAAACAGTTTTAAGGAAAGACTCAGGGATTTTGCGGTTATGGTGTTGATGTGTTGTGTAACTGGTAAACAGCAACCCATGCTTGTCGTAAGAGGCGACTAACGGGATCGGGAGGTCAGGCTCACTGACTTGGTTGATGCATGTCAACGATCCCAATTGCGTGGATCGATGCTCATGATATCAATCACTGGATTGTCTGGTCCAGACTGGATTATTTACAAACCGCCGCATATAGCTGGAATATTGCTTGTGCGGCTTTTAACAACAAACAAACTAAAAATATTTCAAATATTCATACAAGATGCGAATATTTCGCGCATCCCTTGACTTTATATCAGTATTGTAATAAATACCTTTTTGGACAATTCAGTTCTAAGTGTGTTTTGGTGTTGCAAACGCAGTGTAATGTCCGCTTTGATGGTCTTCCTGAGAAGTAAATGAGTGTTTTACGCCGCTTTCCAGTTATATCACATATCCTCGCCGAAATAGAATCAAGAAATATCGCGGTGATAGATTAACGAAAATAGCAGCGTATGTGCTTAAGTATAAATTATAAAGTGAAAACATGCCATTCCACCTATTCGTAATATTACCAAAATGACAAAATATGCAAAGTGCGCTTTTCAGGAAATGTGCATTTCTATGCGATAAACATCATCATTGAGTATTAATGGATACAAGACGAGTAAGAATGGGCAGTCACGTGACTGCGAGCGGTTTTATATATATGTCTCAATAAAGATGTTTATCGCAAACAAACTGAATATTTCTTGAAAGGCGAACTAAGCAACTATATTGATTACTGTAAGTAATATTCATCATCACGGAATGGCTTGTTTTCACTTTATTAATATTAGTACACATGCAGCTATCTTCGTTTATTAATCATCGCGATATTTCGGGATTCTATTTCAAGTGGCGAAGGGGGCGGCCCAGTAGCCTGGTGGTTAAAGCGTTCGCTCGTCACGCCGAAGACCCGGGTTCGATTCCCGACATGGGTACAATGTGTGAAGCCCATTTCTGGTATCCCCCGCCGTGATATTGCTGGAATATAGCTAAAAGCGGCGAAAAGCGTTTGTTTGTTTTTTAACGCCGCACACAGCATTTTCAAACTATGTGACGGCGGTGTGTAAATAATCGAGTCTGGACCAGACAATCCAGTGATTGATATACGATGACATGTGTCAACCAAATCAGCGCGCCGGACCACCCGATCCAATTTGTCGCTTCTAACGAAAAGCAAAGTTGCCTTTCATGGCAAGCACGGGTTAACCTGCGACAAACGGGATCGGATGGTCAGGCGCGCTGACTTGGCTGATGCATGTCATCGTATCTCACAGTGTTGATCAATGCTAATGATATCAATCACTGGATTGTCTTGTACATATTCGATTATGTACAGGCCGCCGTCATATAGCTGGAATATTGCTGAGCTGGCGTTAAACAACAAACAAGCAAAACAAACCAAGCTGAGCATTGATCTGCTTATTACATAAGTGATATTACATCAGTTTTATTAAATTAAGAGGATAAAGCGTCACCCCAGAGAGCGGAAGGACGGTTTGTTTGTTTGTTTGTTGTTCAACGCCGAACAATTGGGATGCGATGACATGCATCAAGCAAGTCAGCCAGCCTGACCACCCGATCCCGTTAGTCGCCTCTTACGACAAGCATAGTCGCCTTTTATGGCAAGCAGGGGTTGTTGAAGACCTATTCTACCCCGGATCTTCACGGGTCGATATCATGAGAGGATCGTGCTGGGCATTTAAAGAGCGCTTCAGGTGGGTGCGAGGGCTTAGCCTCTTGATCTACAAGATTTGTTTGTTTGTTGTTTAACGCCGCACTCCGAAATACTCCAGCTATATGACGGCGATCTGTAAATAATAGAGTCTGGACCAGACAATTCCAGTGATTGACACCATGAGCACCGATGCACGCAATTGGGATCGTATCTTCGTAATGCAATGTACTTACAAGCGTCTTATGATAACACTAGCTTCATATATCAGAGGTCAATGTATGTATTACTTTATGACTGTACTGTTTAATCGTGTATTTTGTAAATGACTATTTTTTAAAAAGCCCCATATTATACATGTGATTGACAGCATGAGCATTGATCCACGCAATTGAGATTCGATGACATCAACCGTAGACCCATTGTACCTAGGATCTTCACCGGTTAGATCTACTATACATGTATAAGTGGTGATACGCACTACGCTCACCATCCCCTCACACCATTAAAAGGTTTTAGGAAATATGATTCGGAGATGGGGGTATGGATCGGATTGAGGTAAAAAGGAGTGAGTGAGTGCATATATCGGGTGGTTAGTATTTGGGAGTATCTTGGTCAGATTTTAGCTGTGGGCAAGTATGTGGGCGGCATGTGCTACAGACCCGTGAAGATCCGGGTTGGAATAGGTCCAGCAACCCTCGAGATAACGATACGTTCGACACAACAGTGTTGGACTGTATACACATTTTTTTCTCTCTCTTATTTGACTTTTTTCACGGTAATTAGAACATCTAAGTACAGTAAACTACGGTTATAACGAACTCAAAGGGACCACTGATATTAGTTCGATATAACCGTAGTTCGTTATAAGCATATATACAGCAAATGGCCGGGACAAAAAAAATGTTTTTTTCCGTCAGTTCGTTATAAGCTTGTTCGTTATATACGTAGTTTACTGTACTTGCAAATTGTTATACGAAACATGAACACAAGCATGTGTAAATAATAACAAAACAATAAAGAACTCACATTTCACCACCAGTGTTTAGATATAATTCATTTGGATAAAGACAATGAAATGTTAACACTACACGAATTCAGAGTTCACGGTAAACTATTTCCAAATCATTTGTTAAAGACTTTCAGTTGTCGTCGAAGTTTTTGTTGACAAAGGCAACTTGAAGGTTGGTAGCTTTCTGCTGCCGTCGCTGGAGAAACATCATGACTGCGACACCGATGATGACGCCGACAGCCAACATGGCAAAAGCAACACCAGCTATAGTCCCTGGAAGAAAAAAGAAGACGTCTTTTCGATGATTTTGAAAGAAAATACCACAGACTAGAATCCATACCGTTAAAATATGTGGTGGTTCTGTGTGATGTTGTTCCTTGTGGTGTGGACCTGTGTCACGAGAACATGTGTCACGAAGACATGTGTCATGTGGACCCGTTTGATGTGATCATGTTGCTCTGAGTGATCTGGCCCTGTGTCATATGATTATGTGTCATGTGATCCTGTGTTGTATGACCCTGTCTCATGTGGACACGTTTAATGTGATCATGTCTGAGTGATGTGGACATGTGTCATATGTCATATGATCGTGTGATATGTGATCCCCTGTCACGTGACCCTGTGTAACATGGGCCCATGTCATGTGTCATGTGTGATGTAAGCATGCGTAATGTGATGTGTCAAGCTTCATAGGGTCATATCTGATGTGTCACGTGTCATGTGCTGCATTGTGATGTGTCATGTGGTCCGATGTGATGTGTGATGTTATCCTATGTGATGTGTGATGTGATCCTATGTGATGTGTCGTGTATGATATAATCCTATGTGATGTGTGGTGTGTGGTGTGATTCTATGTGATGTGTCATCTGTGATATAATCCTATGTGATGTGTCGTGTGATGTGATCCTATGTGATGTGTCGTGTGTGATATAATCCTATTTGATGTGTCGTGTGATGTGATCCTATGTGATGTGTCGTGTGTGATATAATCCTATGTGATGTGTCATGTGTGATATAATCCTAGTTGATGTGTCGTGTGATGTGATCCTATGTGATGTGTCGTGTGTGATATAATCCTATGTGATGTGTCATGTGTGATATAATCCTATTTGATGTGTCGTGTGATGTGATCCTATGTGATGTGTCGTGTGTGATATAATCCTATGTGATGTGTCATGTGTGATATAATCCTATTTGATGTGTCGTGTGATGTGATCCTATGTGATGTGTCGTGTGTGATATAATCCTATGTGATGTGTCATGTGTGATATAATCCTATTTGATGTGTCGTGTGATGTGATCCTATGTGATGTGTTGTGTGTGATACAATCCTATGTGATGTATCATGTGTGATGTGATCCTATGTGATGTGTCGTGTGTGATATAATCCTATTTGATGTGTCGTGTGATGTGATCCTATGTGATGTGTTGTGTGTGATACAATCCTATGTGATGTATCATGTGTGATGTGATCCTATGTGATGTGTCGTGTGTGATATAATCCTATTTGATGTGTCGTGTGATGTGATCCTATGTGATGTGTCGTGTATGATATAATCCTATGTGATGTGTCGTGTGATGTGATCCTATGTGATGTGTCATGTGTGATATAATCCTATGTGATGTGTCGTGTGTGATAAATCCTATGTGATGTGTCATGTGTGATATAACCCTATGTGATGTGTCATATAATCTTATGTGATGTGTCGTGTGTGATGTGATCCTATGTGATGTGTAATGTGATCTAATGTGATGTGTGATGTGATATTATGTGATGTGTAATGTGATCTAATGTGATGTGTGGTGTGGTCCTATGTGATGTGATCTTATGTGATGTGTAATGTGATCTAATGTAATGTGTGATTCCGATGTGATGTGTGATGTGAACCTATATGATGTGTGATGTGATACTATGTGATATGTGATGTGATTCTATGTGATGTGGGATGTGAACCTATGTGATGTGTGATGTGATTCTATGTAATATGTGATGTGAACCTATGTGATGTGTGATGTGAACCTATGTGATGTGTGTTGTGATCCTATATGATGTGTGATGTGATCCTATGTGATGTGTGATGTGAACCTATGTGATGTGTGTTGTGATCCTATATGATGTGTGATGTGAACCTATGTGATGAGTGATGTGATCCTATGTGATGTGTAATGTGATCTAATGTAATGTGTGATTCCGATGTGATGTGTGATGTGAACCTATATGACGTGTGATGTGATACTATGTGATATGTGATGTGAACCTATGTGATGTTATGTGAACCTATGTGATGTGTGATGTGATCCTATGTGATGTGTGATGTGAACCTATGTGATGTGCGATGTGATTCTATGTGATGTGTGATGTGAACCTATGTGATGAGTGTTGTGATCCTATGTGATGTGTGTTGTGATCCTATGTG